CTCTCTCTCTCTCTCTCTCTCTCTCTCTCTCTCTCCATCCTGACTCCCGAGAGGACCGTCACACTCTACCGGAGCAACTGGACTGGACAGTGGTCGTGGGCACAATATTCGCTGGTGCACCCTCACCTGTGAAACCTGCTCGATGCCACTCTGTGATGACCCGTCTGAGATTCGGCTAGCATGTGGTTCGCATACCTTGTGCCGTGAGGATTATGAAGGGATAGCCCATGCGAGTTTTTGTTTTCATATGTGTGATGACAGTTGATATTGCACTCATGTATGCCACCCTCGCATGTGATGTCCAATTTGTAGACAGGAGCTGGAACAGCAATGCCTCTACAATTGCGGTGGGTGTGCCTCTGTGTGTTCCTCGCATGCAGAAGCCACGTAGCCTGTGACATCTGTCTACGCCGTGCCATTCGATGCAGCGACTTTGACTGCGAGAATTGGATGTGGTGCTTCCACAGTCCGCACCTGAACCAGTCGTGTCCAGTTTGTAGGGGTGGCCACTTATCATAGGCGACGGCTGCTGCTCAATTCAAAATGTTATGCAACTCAAACACTGGCTGGCCTCATGTGCTACTACAGAGTAGTCTGCTCCGGTGCTGAGTATTTAGAACCCTGTGCGAACTCAACCGCCTATTTTTTCCTCCCTCCTCTTGTGTAGTAGTAGGAGTAAATGCATAAGAATGAGCATCGTCGAGAGAACAGACAAGCTGACGATCTGAGCAAAAATGAACAGGAATGTACCCTCGCCTTTACTCTGCCTCCTTCTATAGCGTGCAAGTGGGCCGTTATGGCACACGGGGAAGTGGGCTGCTCGCGCTCAACCACAATCGACGTGGTGAGCGTTGTACATGAGAGGCACGGTGAAAGGGGAGCTGAAAGAACAAAGGGGTACACCAAAGAAAGCCAAAGTGAACACAGTTAACCCACCAGTACTTCCAAGCGTCGTGCCCGTTAACGCGCCACGATTTTAGGAAACGTACGGGCTACTACAGGAGCGCCCACATTCATTCGACTAGAAATGTTTCTACTCTATTTTTTTCCGCGGCCGATAGCTGGGCCAAGTACTGGAGGAAAGGGATTTCAGTGCTTCTATTATGCTCCGTGTTGTTTGCTCTAGAGGTAAAACTGTTTCGTTGTTGGATTGTCTCAACTCAAGTGTTTCCGTGGCCTGCAATAGGACTAAAGCTGCTTCAATTTTGGATCTACTCGTCAATAGGGGCTGTTGTGGTGAAAATTCAAAACACACACACACACACCGTTGTGGCCTGAACATGCTATGCTTGACGACTAGAATTTTGTTTTGTTTTTTCCACAAGTGTCTTGGCAAGCAGGCTTGGAGAGTGTTTGCTGCGGGTGTCATTCCCACAGGCTGTTCTTTTGGAGCACATGGAAGAAATGGGGTAGCTTCTACGGCATTTGAAGCAGTAGTGCTCTGATGTTTGTGTGAAGATCTTGTGCGGTTTGGGATTATGGTACTCTATACACTCCAGGGTCTATACAGCAAAGTGATAGGGTAGATGTCCAGCCATAGAGTGATAGAGATGGTGGACCTGGTGGTGACGTGTGTGCGTCGTTTGGGATGAATAGCAGTGCCAGTGTTGTCGTATTTGTGCAATTAGTTTTGTGGCTCTGTGGACCTGCTCAGAGGGCCCTCCCAGTTGTGCAACTAATTTTGTGGCTATGTGGCTGTGTGGACCTGCTCAGACCAATGGAGGGTGTGGTCAGTGCTTTCGTGCTGGTGGAGCCTTCTGTGTTAGGTAAGTTGCCTTCTTCACCCCATCCTTTTATGGTATATATGTATATATATAAGTAGTCAAACAGAGCTGCCTGGTAAACCGTAGGCAGAGAGGGAGAAGAGGACAATAAACAAGGGGCTGTGACAAACTGTTTCGACGGAGTTTCACCATCATATATCGTCAAACAGAGCTGCCCGGAAAACCGTAGGCACAGAGGGAGAAGAGGACAACAAACGAGGGGCTGTGACAAACTGTTTCGTTGGAGTTTCACCGACTCATCAGGAGGCTGAATCCTCAACAGTCTGCAGAATCCCCTAACTGATTACACTGTAAGTGATAATCCACCTTAACCCCGATGTGGTTAAGCATCAAAGACTGCCCGACAACTGATACCGTAAGGTGGGCACCGAACACTGCTCTCAAGGTACCTATAACGAAAATCAAAGTAGACTATCACTCACCCACACCAGATGGAAAACTCTGCACTGTCGGTTCACACCGCATCACAAGCCAGAAAAGCACCCACGAAACAAATGTCTGTCACAGCCAAAAAATACACTCGAGACACGCCCCTGGCACTAGAGGCACGGCATGGCCTCGCAGTGATGGCCCTGACCACTGCCGTTCGACCTGACCGGAGAAAACCGTAGTAGGGTGCTAGCGAAGTCGTGGTATATATCATCAAACAGAACTGTGCCTGGTAAACTGCAGTCAGAGACGGAGAAGAGGACAACAAAGGAGAGGCTATAACAAACTGTTTCGTCGAAATTTCATTGACTCGTCGGGTAACTGAACCCTCAATGGTGTGCAAAATTTCCTAACTGATTCCACAGTAAGTGATAATCCATCTTAAGCCCGGTTGGGATTAAGCATGAACGACTGTTCGACAACTGATACCCTGAGGTGGGCACCAACCACTGCCCTCAAGGTGCCTGTAACGAAAATCAAACCAGACTATCACTCGCCCACACCAGATGGAAAACTCTGCACTGTCGGTTCACATACCATCACAAGACGAAAAAACAAACACGAAACAAAGAAAGGTCTGTCACAAGCAAGAAATACACTCCAGACACGTCGCTGGCACTAAAGGCACATGATGGATGCGCAGTGATGGCGCCGACTACTGCTGCTCGACCTGACTAGAGAAAACTGGAGCAGGGTGCAGTGATGGCCCCGACCACTGCCGCTCGACCTGACCAGAGAAAATCGAAGCAGGGTGCTAGCGAAGTTATGATATATATCGTCAAACAGGGTTGCCTGGTAAACCGTAGACAAAAAGGGAGAAGAGGACAGCAAACCAGGGGCTGTGACAAACCGTTTCGTGGAAGTTTCATCGACTCATCAGGAGGCTGAACCCTCAATAGTTTGCAGAATCCCCCAATTAACTACACTGTAAGTGATAATCCACCTTAACCCCGGATGTGGTTAAGCATCAACGACTGCCCCACAACTGATACCCTGAGGTGGAAACCAACCACAACCTCAAGGTACCTATAGTGAAAATCAAAGCAGACTATCACTCGCCCACACCAGATGGAAATATATAGACTGTCGGTTCACACCCCATCACAAGCCAAAAAAACACCCATGAAACACCTTAAGGTATTAGTTGTATATATATCGTTAAAATATATATCCAAGTGGCTGACCTTGTACGTAAGAGGTGATGAACAGGTGGGGCTTTCCTTACGTCTTTTCCTTGTTTTTTTTTTTTTTCGCCTTCGCGCTCTGATTCACAGTGATGTTGAGGGTTCAGCCTCCTAACGAGTCGGTGAAACTCCGACAAAACAATTTGTGACGGCCTCTTGTTTGTTGTACTCTTCTCTCTCTCTGCCGACGGATTACAGGACAATTATGTTTGACAATATATAGCACCCTGCTACGTTTTTGGGGGGTCAGGTTGAGCCTCTGTAGTCGGTGCCATGTTGTGCCTCTCGTGCGAGCAATGTGTTTAAGGGGTATTTATTAATTGTGGGTGGGTGTTTTGCTGGCGTGTGATGGAGCGTGAACCAACAATCTGTAGAGTTTTCCATTTGGTGTGGGTGAGTGATAGTCTGCTTTGATTTTCGTCGCACGTACCTGGAGGGCAATGGTTGGTGCCCACCTCAGGGTATCAGTTGTTGAACAATCGTTCATGCTTAATCGCAACTGGGTTTAAGGTGGATTATCACTTACTGTGGAATCAATTAGGAAATTCTGCACACTATTGAGGGTTCCGTTACCTGATGAGTCGGTGAAACTTCGATGAAACAGTTTGTCATAGGACCTCTCGTTTATTGTCCTCTTCTCCCTCTCCACGGACGGTCTATAGGGCAGTTTTGTTTGACATTTAAGACGCATAATATTTTTTGGAGCAATGTTGCTCCGACAAGTGCGCCAACTATATCTCAAACGAATTTCTACGACAGGATAGGACCTCGCGAGGTACAACTTACCTCTACCTGCGGAAGTTGTCACCATCTTTGGGTGGGTGTACCCCCTGTGCTACAGCGAACGGAAAAAAACGTCAGTTGATCCACCTTTGTGATGACAAGTAAAAACTCTTATATGTGGACCAGTACCTCGATGGGGATACGCTCACCTGCGGATTGCTCATGTAGGGATGGTGACATCTCCTACGGTGGAGGTAAATTGTACCTAGCAAGGTCTTATCCTGCCGTACGAAATCATAAAAGGTATAACTGACGCACTTGGTCGGAGCGTCCCGAATGCCAAAATCCTTCATGATGTGATCGGGAGGGTCCTTGCACGGGACCGATGCGCTTGACATCATATACCACCCGCAGACTGATATATTGAAAGTGTGGTCTTCTTGACAACCATTCATAATGAAAAGGGGGGGAACATAGTGGTGGTTGGGGATGCAACATAAAAGCGTACTCCATAATGTGGAGGTTTAACACTAGTGATATGGGTGCAAGATAAGAGCATACTTCATGAATCGGAAATGCCTGTTGTAATGGTTTCGTTTTATCAAGGGGAGTTGCACCTGTTAGAAACCAGGTACAATCTCCATTAGATTAACAAAAGTGGCAACCTTGAAGTATCGTTGTCGAATTGATCAGCAAAAGGTAAAACATATTTTCATTTTATTATTCTTTCATTTTGAGTCTAGTTATGAATGATTGCGGACAAAATTTTACTCATTCTTTTACTTGAGGTCTGCAAAACAAACTGATATAGATTAGTTTCAGAGTCGTGCAACAACGAAGACAACAAAAAAACCAATAAAACTCTTATTTGTGGTTATTATATTAGTGGGCTGCCCAGTAGATTAACAACATCGAATCTATATGAAAAAAAGGGGGGGGAAATAGGACAATTTTATCTAATGACTGACGGATCAACCATAACTTCCTTCGTGGATATGAGCAATGAAAGACACAAACATGGCGGTTATCATTTTTAGCATATTTTTTGTAGGTTAAAATTAAAAGATCGTTAATGTTTGGGAAGAAAGTTGATATTGCACGGATATTGTAATCACTAATAGGATTTTTTTCTGCGTTACCGAATCAGACGCCCATTCATTAAAAACCATTTGAGCAGCAAATCGTAGTGTTCTTAGAAAAACATATTTGATATTACTAGACCAACCTGATGTTATAATACCATAGACACCTAAAAACAAAATAACAAATATGTAAAGTATACCTACATTTAAATCTGACAGTACCATACTATAATCAAAAGGTAATTACTTCCCAAGCAACTAAACTTAACATAAATGTAATGATTGGAGTCGTTATAAAGATGAGCAAATTATCATCACTTGGTATAATATGTTTTTTTATCATTAAATTCCAACACTGATCGTCAGGGACTGTCCGATCAGACAACCGGTCGGTCGTCAACCTGGGGTCCTTCGTCCGATCGGTGGGGAAAATAGAGGGGCCACGCCTTTGGGGAATCGGACGTCGTAGGGATGGGATGCGGGCAGGGGTGAAGCGGGCGGGCACAAAACATTTTTTTTGCGAGATTGGGAGAGCCTAAAAAACTGAAAAGGAAAACAGCTCGGTCTGGCCCATCACATCTTTGAGATTGACGGCCTGGATTAGGCTGATTTTAAATTTGAATTTTTGGCAATTGGGGCTCTCTCTCGTGTGCGAGTTGGCCCTGCCTTGTTAGCGAAGTTCGGCGTTGCACTCTCAGTTCCCGAACCCCAATGCCCAATAATCACAACCCCACACGCCATCGCCCGCCTGCGCCAGGTGAGTTTCCTTCCTTTTGTTCTCCACCTCCTCCTCCTCCTTCTGTTTCTCCTCTTCCACCTTCTGTTTTTCATGTTGTCCTCCTCTAGATCCTCTTTTTTTTCTCCTCCTCCTTTTATTCCTTCTCCTCGTCCTTGTCGTCGTCGTCGTCGTCCTCCGCCTCCTGTATGGGATCCTCTCCCTCCTCGTCGTCCTCATAGTCCCGGTCCTTTCTCTCCTCCTCCTTGTCCTCCTCTTCTTCTTCCTCCTTTTTCTCCTCATCCTCCTCCATCTCTTTCACTTCTTCTTCCTCCTCCACCTCCTCCTCCTCTTCTTCCTCCTCCTCTCTCTTCCTCCTCCTCCTCCTTTTCTTAGTCCTCCTCCTCTTCTTTCTCCTTCTCTTTCCCGTCCTCCTCCTCCTCCTCCTCCTTCTCCTCCTCCTCCTCCTCCCCTTCTTTTTCCTCTTCCCCATCCTCCTCCTCCTTCTCCTCGTCTTTCTCTTCATCCTCTCGTCTTCGTCCCATCCTCTTCCTCCTCCTCCTCCTCCTCTTCTTCTACCTTGTTGTCCTCGTCGTCGTCATCATCGTCCTCCTCCTTTTCCTCTTGTTCTTCCGCTTTCCCATCCTTTTTCTCCTCCTCCTTTTTTTCTTCCTCCTCATCCTTGTTGTCCTCATCTTCCTCCTCCCTCGTCTCCTCGTCCCCCTCCTCTTCTTCTTCCACCTCATTGTCCTCCTCGTCATCGTTGTCCTTCTCCTTCTTGTCCACCGCCACGACACCCTCTTCGACATCGCCGTCATCCTTGTCCCCCTCTTTTTCCTCCTCCTTGTCCTCCTTGTCGTCCTTGTCGTCATTGACCATCACCGTTCGGGGATGATGTTTCGACAACTTAGTTTTTATTTTATTTTGGCAACTTTTTATTTTCTTTTATATTTTGAGTATATTATTTATTCACCCATGATCTGAGTTTCTTTTAATTATACTTGGTATTATAAAAATTTAGGGGAAAGTACGCGGGAGTCACAAAAATGAGTTATAATTGCACAATGGGCCAAAATAGAGTTTGAAATTGAAGTTCGGACAATGTATACAACCCAACTTTTTGGCCATGTAGGGTGCCTGAAGTGCAATTGCAAACTGTATTTTGCCCCAAAGTGCAATTATAACTTGTTTTTGTGACTCTACTGAACTTACCCCTATATTTTATTTTGACTTCCTTTTTCAACAAGTTAACGACATTTTGGATTCGATTGTTTTAAAAGGAGCTCAATATAATTTTTGAGTGTTCAAATGTATTCACAGTGATTCCACAAGGAAAATATTTTAGGTTTGTTAGGTATTACGAATGATTATGAAGAGAGTTTAAACAAAGATTAACTAGGATGGGGGTAATTTAGAGCTCGATACTTTAAGTGTCTTTGTGATTTCAGTATATGACCTTATTTCTTTTTATCTGTCATGGAGCTCATATATCATCTATGATGATGATGTTTTGTGTTTGGGTTTCAATTTCACGCATAGTTAGTGAAGTCAATATTTTAAAAGTTAAAACTTACAAAAATAAAGTTAAACATACTTGAGGATTTGATATGAATGACTAAATTTAAGGAGCATCGTGAAAAGATGAAGAAAATCAATTGAGTTTTGAAAAGATCCTGTTATTTTATATTTGTTTATTAACATTAAATTAAGATTGCAACAAAATTAATATTTGACTATAATGTATCATTGTTTTATGATCGCCTTATTTATCTGATCATCTAATTCTTTATAAACCTTGTTTACAACAATTTTTAAGGTGACGAATTTCAGGGCCCTACGTAAACTATAAACATTTTAAAATTGGCATAACGGTTACTGATCAGGTTCACTGAGGCATTCTTTAAGGTACTAGTTTGACTCATAATAGTAATATGTTTAAACAATGGTGGTTGATTATGTACGTATATCGAAGTGCAGTGACTTATTTTATAATTGTCTTTCACCTTGTAATCAGATAATTAATAGTTTTATAAATAAATTACTTATAATTAAAAAATGGAGAGGGTAGTTATGTTCCGTAATTAAAGTTAAACTATCTAACCCTTGAATGAAAAAATGATTGGAAGTGATGATTGAATCTATTAAATAAAGAAGGCGGTTTTCAATAAACGCAATAACGCATGGTAAGTTGTATTTTTAGAGGCATAAATAAGTAATTTCCCATAAGGGTTGAGACCCCTTCGGCATAAACTTTACTTCAGATTGCTGATTTTATTTCAACAAGTCAAACGTGTCACGATAGAAAAATGATATATATTCATAATACTAAGATACATGCGTAGTTACTTTTTCTACTAAACGTATAACCTTAGAGCTTCTGCCTTTTTTTGCTTCCACCTTTTTATAACAAAGTAGATGGGATTCAAGTGTTGTGAACCGAGTGATAAAAACAATAAAGCTCAAAGTAAACTTTATTCATTTTTCTTGTAGTTAAATGAATGAGATTTTAAGCCTCCTCAAATTTCGTGTGGAGTATAGCGACTGAACTTGATATGAGGGCTGTTTATTTTTACGAAGTTTGCTGCTGGTTTGTAGGTAAGTAGAGTAGTACCCGCGATGGTTCGATACCGAAAACGACCGGAAGTGTCGCACCTGAGTTCCTGCAGAATGGACCCGACCCCATTACATGCAGTGCCGATTGTTGTGTTAGCAGACTGTTCTAGACGAACCAGGGCACGACCCGCGAAGTACGGACATATTTTGAGGTAGTCTTGGGTTTTTAATACAATATATACGGAGCATACAATTGAATAGTCCTCTTACAGGTCGAACGGATTCTACGGAACACCAGCATCCGGATGATGGCGGGAAGTAGGAACGAGAGTAGGTTTGTTGTGGTGAGAAGGGATTTGTCGAGGGAAGTATGGCTGGTGGAAACCCTGATGAAGACAACGTGGCGACTGTCGAAACACGGCGTCGGGGACGCCCAACCTGTATGCACTTGATTGATAGTACAATTCGAACGCTTTGTTACTTTGTCTCATGTGTTTTACATGTTGACATGTGGATTGATCATCTCAACTCTATTCATTAGATACTCCGCATGTGAACACTTCTGGAGTCGCTTACTGGAAGGGGTGAACATGTAATCGTCCTGGGATGATTGGTATTTCATCGGTAACATCGAAGTGACGAAGACAAAAGTAGTCCATGAGAAGGAGTATCAAGAGTACCGGAAGGTGAACGAGACCAAGGTAGCTGATCGGTATTTTGACAAGATGGCGAGCGATCAGAGAGATAGTTCGGGACACGGAGGGAATCAGGACCGTGGACCAAGAAGGAATCCAATCACTTGCTTCGCATGTGGCGAAGAGGGATACTATGCTACCCAGTGCAGGAATCCGAGACCGGGATGGCGTGGAGCACATCAAAGACTGTCGACATCATTAGAGTCTAGGAGGGCGACGAACGTATTCGCCTCAACGACACAAATGGTACACGTCGGAGGACCAGGAAGTGCAATCACAAGTAAGGGAGCTTGGACAGAGTGTAGCCGCATTAAGAGAAATGTGTGAAGCAGACCGCGCGCAAAAGGAGGCAAAGATCAAAAAGAAGGCGGAAAAGAAAGAAGCAGAAAGACGAGCGAGGGAGGAAAAAGAGGCGAAGGAGAGGAAAGCCAGGAAGAAAGCTGAGAAGGCCAGAGCGGAGAAGGAAAGGATCGCAACAATGCGAAAGGATATGGATATCCATGTCAAGAGCACTGTGAAGGCGGCCATGCAGGCTGCTTGTTCCGATTTTCGTGAAGTACTTGAGGCAGCTAAATTACACGAGACGAAGACTGAAAAACAGAGAGTAACGTACGCCTCGGAAGGGGAAGGGTTCTCCGAATATAAGTTCGTGAGCAGCGAGACGGAAGAGATACGTGAGCGAACAAAAGGTTTGATTATCCATGAGAAGCGGAAGCGTGGACCAGAATCAACTTTTGAGGACAGCCCACTCATAGAGTTGCCGACAAAACAGACTCCGAGGAAGACGCCCAAGCGGGGTGTACACAAGATGGAAAAACTTACACCGCGAGTGACACGTTCGACGGCGAAGACGAAGGTGCGACTGTCTCCAGCTACGAAAGAGAAACTTGCTTCAGCATTGAAGCGGAAGATACCTGTTGCATGCGGACTGATCGGGCGATACAAGTTTCGAGACGCTATCATAAGCCAACTGAAGATCATGGATGCTATCACGTTGCAAAATTTGTGCAATGATGAAGGTATACCGTACAATGGGAAGATTGACGCCATATTTGACCTAGCGGAGCACCGGACCTATATTGCATACGGCACCGAGGAAGAGGAAGGCAACGAGGCTGAGGAAAAGCAAGAGGAAGAAGAGGGTCTTACCACGGAAAATGTCGAAGAGGCCGAGGAGGACGCAGCTTGATGTGGATACGGTATCGCCGAGTATTGGAGGCTGTGTGAACTTTTGGTTGACCTATGTGGAAAGTCGGGTAAGTATAACCGTGAAGTCGAGGAGCTTCTACGTCTCGTGATTGTATGACTGTCGATCGCAGGTTGCATCCGCTAGAATAGAAAGTGTGTAGACGCATGGCTGAACCTGTACGAAAAATACGGGTTGCAGTTTCTGCATTTGAAGAATGTTGTATATATAGCTGTGTCGCCATACTGCCGCTCGCAATATGTAGGGAAGATGTGTCGGGACGTCGATACTAGATGGGGCGAGCATCTGTATGCATATAAGCACAAATCACCTACACACTTTTACCGTTGGTTGGGATGCTTCGGCGCACATAAATACGTTTTGATTCCTGTAGATACGCTTGTAGGGAAAGATTTGACGGACCTACAACGTACGTACATCAGACAGTGGTCACCTGTGTTGAATTCGACAGGAGTTAGGAGGAAAGGAGGGAGGAGAGGGAAAACAAGGAAGGGTGCCAGAGAGCGTCGTATGGAGAAACCGCAACTGACTAGGCCATGCAAGGTTGTAAGACCAATTCGTTTTACGAGCAGGGAGAGTACAGGGACTATCGTCAATTTCCACGATTTCCTGTTTAACTGCTCGTCAAGAGGGTGTACTAGTCCGGTCTGATGGTGGGAACACCTGGCACACCCCTTGGAAGAAATTACGAAAATTGTTTGGGCGAAGCTCTCTGAAGGCACGTGGAGAGGAGTTTTTACTTAAGAATGGGAAAACGCTGATCGAAGAGGGAGGACTTTTCGAGATCACTCACCTGAGGATCTGGAAACCCAGATGTAAGGCACTAAAGCTTGTTTTACTAGGGATTTTGAAATGTCCGAGGAAGTTGAAAGAGTTATACAGTTGGAATATGAAATCAGTGCTACGGTTGTACAAGGTGATTAAGGATTTCAGTCGAAAATCGACTCGGAAGTACCTTAGACGCTTGATACAGAGAGTTTTTAGGGAGAGATTTGACTTGAGTTTGAGGGCTGACCTGGTTGTACACGTGAAATTCGACGATAGGATCCGACTATCGCAACTGAGGAAGGTAATCAATGACTTAGTGATGGATTGCGATTTACCAGCGTGTTTCAACACGTGCACGTAAGAAAGTTCGCCTAGTATGGACTAAGAACCAGTCTTACCTTTCCCACGAGAGAAAGGCTACGTGTGCTTCCACTTGAGCACGATATGCAATGACCAACCTTTACTGAGGAACGCGAAGAATGTTCCGATCCAAGAAGTCAGCAATCGGATTGTCAGTCTCCAACAGGAAGTCGAGTTGGGCTTCTGTAAGTGGGCTAATGGCAGAGGTAAGCCGGTAAGTGTCAAACGAAAAGAGTTAGAACGATGCTTCGCGCCGAGGAACGGAGATGGGGCGAAGCTTTTGACGATGGGGGAAGCCTTACAGTTGAAGAGGGATTTGGAGGGTTTGGTGTGTACTCATCTGGATCGGAATCCAGGGGAAACACTAGTGCTATGCCTTAAAGTGTACTTTGACGCGATGATGTCCACGTCCGTCATGAATCATGGATACATCGTGGTTAAGGACACGGAGGAACAGGTACTACGTGAGATGAGAGATGACATGGACGCCATGGGACTCAAGAGGATGGTCAGATGGGATGTGAAGGGTCAACTACGTACGGCGTATGTGCTACCTAAGCAGAAGGACGTGAGCCGCTTCAGGCCAATATGTCCGACCTTCAAAGAGCCAACGGTTCGGACTGGAAGACTGGTGGCAAAGAGGTTGAATCATTTGTTGTTTACCTTACCATGTGATTGGTATTTCAATTTGCAGGCTGTCTCGCACCTGTCGGAGATATTGCGTTAATTTGAGTAAGATTAATCGAAGAATTATCAGAATGAGGAACGAAATTGAAGTGACTTCGATGTCATATGACATCAAAGAAATGTTCAACTAGCTTTCTCATGCTGATATTATGCGTGCAGTAGAATGGATCACATCGTACCACATGAGTCAAGGTAGGGATTTCGTGAGAGTGAACACCAGGGGAAAGGGCTGTTCGTTTGGCGTAACGACTGGAGGAGATCACTGAAGGAAAATTGAGTTGAGGGATATTGTGCGTTTTGTACAGGTGGAACTCCGACAAACATACACGTACGAGACGACTACTTTGTTGAAGCAAGAAATCGATATCCCCATGGGTAAGAGCACAAGTCCGCCTTTAGCATGCATAATGTGCGCATATGCCGAATTCGTTTTTTTGAAGAGTCTGGGAGTACGGAGGAAGAACGTGTTTGGCATTAGACTTGTTGATGACGTAGCCTTGTTCACAGCGGGGTTACGAACAGAGGAGGTGTCAGAAGTCCAACAAAAATTTGTGCCTTAAACGTACTGACGATGAGTCAGGTATTTTTGACTTTCGGGGATGGGAGATTCGGACGGATGATTCCTACCCCTTTGTAGGGTGTGTTCAGATGTCAAGAAATGAAGCCAGCATGTGCAAGGATGAAAAACTCGAAGTACAGACAGGACAATCCTACTATTCATGGGGATGTAAGAGGCAGAAGATCGCGATTGTTGGGTGTTATCTTCACAAAATAGACCAGAACACTTCAATCAGATCGAAGATTCCTATGAGATTACTGAGTCTGAAAAGAGAATTGAGGTTGAAGGGTTTCTCGCACATATTCTTCCTCCGAGTACTCAGACGCTTTGCCAAAAGACGAGACGAGATTTGGCAACACACTGCAGATTTTTTGTCACGCTGTGTTTATTAGAACAGCCAATTCGACCTATCCTTGTAAGTAGATATTGGATGTGTGTTGTAGGAGTATGAGAACTTGTGCTTAGTTGTAACGTGCGTATGGAATGTTTTCGAACCATTAGATAGGAATATGGACAGGGACCTTTGTAAGAAATGTATGGACTGTGGAAATTGTCTATAATTTTGGAGTGTTTCAGCTGACGTTTTTTGTAAGTAGGAAATATGGGCAGGGACCTTTTCGTGTGGAGTATAGCGACCGAACTTGATATGAGGGTTGTTTATTTTTACGAAGTTTGCTGCTGGTTTGTAGGTAAGTAGAGTAGTACCCGCGGCGGTTCGATACCGAAAACGACCGGAAGTGTCGCACCTGAGTTCTTGTAGAATGGACCCGTCCCCATTACGTGCAGTGTCGGTTGTTGTGTTAGCAGACTGTTCTAGACGAACTAGGGAACGGCCCGCGAAGTACGGACGTATTTTGAGGTAGTCTTGGGTTTTGGGTACAATATATCCGGAGCGTACGATTGAATAGTCCTCTTACAGGTCGAACGGATTCTATGGAACGCCAGCATCCGGATGATGGCGGGAAGTAGGAACGGGAGTGGGTTTGGTGTGGCGAGAAGGGATTTGTCGAGGGAAGTATGGCTGGTGGAAACCCTGATGAAAACAACGTGGCGGCTATCGAAACGCGGCGTCGGGGACGCCCAACATGTATGCACTTGATTGATAGTACAATTCGAACGCTTTGTTACTTTGTCTCATGTGTTTTACATGTTGACGTGTGAATTTATCATCTCAATTCTATTCACTCCTTAAATTCATATTATGAAATTCAACAAATAGTTAAGGTCATATTATAAATTAAACAAATGTTAATTAAAGTCAAACGTAGAGTGAAAAAAAAAAAGATGAACTACATAGATAAGCAAAATAATCACCTTCATTTTGTCAAGCTTATTAATACGGTATGACTCTGCAACAAAAAATTCAAGTGGGGTATTATATTAGCAGAAGTTTAAAGTTTTATTTTTTTAAATAATAATACTTCATATAAATAATTATAATATTGCTTTGTTTTCTATTATTTCCTTCTTTCTCTGGTTTTTTTTTTTTTTTTTTTTTTTTTTCGTCCTCTCATGTTAAAATAAAAAATAATAAGCAAAGCATTACAGATTATCGAAGTTTAAGTTTGCCTTATTATTGCTTAATCGATGATTGTTCTTATCTCCTTTAGTACTTATTTGATTTTATGTCGTAAATTAATTAAACATATTTTTATCATTTTTTTTATATTTATTTTTTATTTTTTTCTTTAAACTCAACCCTCTTAAAAATAAAAAACAGTGTAACATTACCAATTATCATGGTTAAAATTTGCCTTATAATAGTTCATGGCTGTTCATTTATTTTTTTTAGTCCCTCTTTGATTTTATGTAGTAAATTAATTAAACTTATTTTTATCCCTCTTCCCCCCTCCTTAAAAATACTTATCTAAAAAATTTATGCTTCAGAAGAACGTTGAGAGGACAATTAATCTATATAAGTATCTTCAACACAAAATTACTACTCCTTTACATAATTTTAAACGACTTATGAGCGAGACCATCATAGAAATCTGGAAAGTATACGGAATACAAATTTACTTGAAAATGAGTAACTAATTACCGTTTAGTTAGGTTACCAGCCGGGTCGCCCGGGTCTCGGGTGACCAGCCCGTACAAGGACCAAATAAGGTCCCAACAAAAATAATAATAATAATGGAAAAAAAAAAACTCAAAAAAAAAAACTATGTTATGCAGAAAAATAAACTTAATAACTTTTGCCTTAGGGTCATATCCAAATTCTTCACAAAATTCAAAAAAAAAAAAAATAATAATAATAATAATTTTTTATTTTTTTATGTTTTTTTTTTTGGTCGGGCAAGTGACCCCGGACCACTTTGGTAGCCTAGCTGTTTAGCTAAAATGTTTTTATATTTGAAGTCAGATTGCTTTTATACAAAAAAATTGAGGGTTTTTTTTTCTTTTTTCTTTTTCAAACGATAAATATCTATGAGATCAGGGTTGCCGGCGTTCGGGACGGGCCGAACGCCCGAACTCGAACCCGAACGCTCGAACGTTTGGGACCCCCTCTCGACGCATTCGGACGTTTCGCTGAACGTGGAACCAAAAAAAAAAAAAAAAAAAAAAAAAAAAAAAAAAAAAA